CAAGGCGGAGCTGGTGCGGATCGGGTTCGCTGCGCGCCTTGCCGCGGGAGGAGAAACAATTCTCGGCGGCCGAGGGCGCAATTTATGGCGCAACCGATAGGCGACGGTTTTGTTCTCGGCGGCCGAAGGTGCAACCTATGGCGCAACCAATAGGAGACGGTTTTATTCTCGTCCTCCTCGTGCTCGAACTCCTCGTCGTCGTCCTCGTCTAGGATCTCGTCCTTGTCTCTCCTCGTCCTCGTGCTCATCCTCCTTCTCCTGGCACCTCGGCCCCCCATCGCCCTCGCTGGCCCGCTCGCGGTTCAATTCAAAGCCGGACCAGGTCACGGGCCTTGCCGCAGGGATGCCAGCGGAATGGCGGAAACCCGTCGCTGAGAAAAGGCAGCGTGCTGAAGGATATTGGCAAAGAGGAGTGAGTGAGGAGGCTTCCTTAGTCTCTTCACCGCAGTAGGAAACGCAAGGCCAGCTCCCCCACGGGGGCGTCAGTCGGCATCGTCGGCCAGCCCTTGAGTGAACGAGTTCAGGCCGAGCGGCTACACATGAAACCGTCTCCTAGAGGTTTCGCCATGAGTTACGCCGCCGGCCGCCGACAATACACCTGCGGAGGCTCTCGAGACAGAGGCGCGTCTCTCCTGCGATGCTCGCCCGCCCCCTCCTCCCGTCTGAGCAACGCACAGGAACAAGGCCGATTGCGCGGACAGTGGCGCGCAGGCTGCCCTCATTGAGTCGCAGGGCAGCGTCTCGCCCCGCGGCGCGGTGTGCCGCGCTGGCGGCCTGCGGAAGCCACCGCATCTTGCCGCATTGACGTCGTGCGTCAGTCCCCCTTCCTTTTCGCCGCCCACGTGGCACGACCGCAATTGTTCAGAGGAGGAAGAGCTCGAAATGCTGGTCGGAACGCATCCCAGGAGGGGTCCGGGGAGCAGCGGTATCGGTACCCTTTGGTCTCCCCAGTTGCGTCTGACGCGGCAGCAACCAAGGAAGTGCGAGGTCTTGTTCGCGCGCCTTGCAGCAAGTTGCGCCGATCGTTGCTCACCCCTGTCGGCCCAGCCTCTCTCACGTGTTGCCGACCTGCCTGCCCGGCGCACAGGTGGTGAACTGCTCCTCGGACAAGCCGCGGCATTTTGCAGTCCAGATGTATCCTTCCACCGCCAGTGTGAGCTTGGTTGTGCCGCCACGGTGTTGCAAACAACTCTGACGTTGTCTGGGCTGTCTGTCTGTGTATCATTTTTTTTTTGTTGTCTTGCTCTTTTTCTTTTTTCTCTCTCTCTCTCTCTCTCTCTAAGTCTTCTCTCTTTCTATATATGTATACGCGGAATGCGCCGCCGCTCCAGAGTTCTGTTTGGGTTTCGTTTGACGAGGACTGCTGTGCTCCGAACAGCGAGGCGTAAGACTTGATTTCCTGGAATAGCCCAGGGCGTAGCAGCTGGATTCCGGGGGCGTGGACATCACCCCGACCAACACGAGACCAATCCGATTATGATATCTGGTCTTCAAGGGCCTCGCCCTGCCGAGGCAAGCTTCGCACCCCCTGCGGCCGTGAATACCTCGCCGTTGCCTGCGCACCAGCTCCCGCCTGCCTTAAGCAGTCGTTGACCAGGCACTGGAGTTGTTGCTTGTGACCGTTCTTTTGTTCATCGTCTTGCCGATCGGCGCGGGCCCTCGCACCCCCCCCCCTCCCCCCCCCTCCTTGGAGCAGACCTTGGCTGTTTCTCTTGGCGCGCCTGCTTCGAGCGGGCGGAGGCTCCCCCATAGTGGACGCCCTGTTGCAAACAGTCGCATTCCGCAGAGGTCTGGGGCCCTCCCCCCCCGCCGCCCCCCCCCCCTTCCGCCCAATGTCGAAGCGCCGAGTAAAAAAAAAAACCCGCTCACCAGATCAGTGGATCCTTTCGGGCGACGGTGCCGCTGTCGGCATTGGCCCTGGGTTCCTCAACCACCCGTGCCACCTTTCTCTTGGAGGCACTGGCTGGAGGTGTTGCGCAGCAGAGGCGAGGTGGGGTGAGGGGTGTGAGCGACCCGCCCACAGGCAAGTCGACAGAGGCAATCCGCACCTGCCAACACCCCTTAGCAGACGTGTTCACACGTCTTACCAACTGGTGACGCACTTAAGCGCCCGGTAGCAGCGCCGAGCGTAATTCAGGAGGGAAGAAAACACACAGACACAATTCATCGTCGATTCCCCAGAAAATATGGGAAATATGAGGAATCCGGTTATTTATGTCTATTTATTTGTGTGTCCCAGTTCCCCTTCAGTAATCCATTGTCGTTTGTGCTTGCAGTGAACTTGAATCTCCTGACCCCCCACTCTTTACACCCCACTCCCCACTGCAGCAGGATTTCGGCCACAAAAAAACCTCCACAAGAAACTGAGGCCCTGAGGCCGCGGGATCTCGATGTATCTGAGGGCTGGGAACCCTCGCGTTCTCATCGCGAGTGCGGTAGAAACCGAGAAGCCCAGGGCTACCAGGCGGAGCTCAAGCGGTCTCTTGATCTTCGTCCCCACCGTAAGGTTCTTGGCCCCCCCCCCCTTCCTCCGGGCGTAGCCGAATACTGCGCAGGCTCGGGACGACCTGCAATCCGCAGGGAACTGGCGAAAGCTGCGACGCTCTGGGGGCAGCAGGTCTGGTGCGGAAAGCGTGGGGTCGGACACCGAGCGAGGGGCTGCCCCGTTGCAGAGAGCGAGGTCGCTTGTCGGCAGGCTCGTGCTGCGTCGACGGGACGGCGACGCCAGCGCGGACGCTCAGGGTTGAGGCTGAAGAAGAAAACGCGGCATAAACATACACTTTTGGCGCTCCGCGCGGATTTCTCGAACCTGCGCTGGGCCCCCTGGCGGCGCCGGAGGCGCGCGGCCCCTGGCGCGCTCCGCGCGCCAGGGAGGGGGGTCCAGCCCAGATCCAAGAAATCCGCGCGGAGCGCCAAAATTTTATGTTCATGCCGTTTTTCGTCCCCCCATGAGGGCCATCGGCAGCCTAAAACGGACAGCGCCTGAGCGATCTCCGCTGTCGTATAGCGCAGATCGCCCAGTGTTGGACGAGCTGCGCGGTGGCAGATGCTCACACGTGCGCGTCGACACGGCAGGAACCAGCGGCACAATGAGAGCGCGGGTCCGATCGGCCCAGGCCTTTACAGGCATGGGAGGCGCGAATAGGGAGAAGGTCTGCCGAGCACGCCCTTCTTTCCGCGGGGCGAGCTCGATGCTCGTCGCTGTGCGATCTCGCGTGCGAGGTGGCGTGCATTCTGCGTCACCCCAACATACTAATACTGTGTGTGCGTCGCCCCCAGGTGCGACGCGCGCACCGAGAAATCTTATAGTACATGCGTCGTTGCGGGCGCTTTCTGGCCACACCACTCTGGAAGCGACCTATACTACACGATGGGTATCCTGGATGTTCGGGTCGGGCGCGCGCCTCCAGGGAGGACATATAGTACTAGCATGTCTTCGTGCGCCCCATGCGCCCCATGCATATCATGAGTGGCGCAGCCTCTGAGAGCCTCGTGGAGGCCCGTGCGCGCGCGCACCAGTCGGGATGTGTGTTTCCCTGGCCTGCCTCCGCACCAGCCCGTCTCTCCCCGTGCTCACTCGGAGCCCCTGGAGGGGTGGGGCCTGACGGGGCCAGGGCGAAGAGTAAGTCGGGCATGTCCCTCTACAGGAGGAACGCTCAAGAATAGTTTAAGATTTGGTCTGGGGGCATGCTTTTTTTGACTATTTTCTGCGTTTTTTGAACATCTTTTTTGATTATTTGAACGAAGATCCGCCCGTAGGAGGACATGCCCGACCCAAGGCTAGGACGAGGATCAATCCGTTCCAGAGTGTTCCAGAACGCTCTCAGCGCGTTCCGGAACGCTCCGAGAAGGCCGCGCGGTGCCCGAGGCGTCCTCCAGCGCCGCCAGATCTCGGAGATTCTGGGTTTGTCTTCCCCCGATGTTGTCCTCGTCCTGGCTTCGTCTTATAGTTGGGTCCTGCGGCCCCGCGCCGCCTTTTTCGCCCCTCGGGGCCGTGCCAGGGCCCCGTGGCCGTCGGCACACGACTCGGGTTATGATGTTCCAGCCTACTTTAGCCTTGATCACCAGAAAGAATTTCGAGTACCAAGAAAGATACCGAAACTGGAGGGTTTTCGCGTGTCGGGCCCTGGGAGTCGATTTTCGTTCGGCACTTTTTCTAAATATGCATATAACGGCGCACCGGGTCCGGGGGCCCGGGGCCGGGACCTCGACCACAAATGTGCGCCCCGGGGGGCCCGGAGGCTCGTCGGGGCTTGCCGGAGGCCTCCCCAGTCAGACAAGACGGCCCAAGAAGCGCCCAAGACGGCCCAAGAAACTTCCAAGAGGCCTCCAAGAGGGCTCCGAGATGCTGAAGATGGCCTCCAGACGTCCAAGGAGGCCCCCAAGAGGCCCCAAGAAGCCTCCAACATGCGTCCCAAGAGGGCCCCTAGACGCATGGAGGTTTTAGAACGGGTTGAGCAGAGGGGCCATACGTGTGATGTTGGGCAAAAGGGAATACTCTGCCCGTTGTCTGATGTGCACTCGCCAACACCCTGCTGCCCTTTTCCGCTCAAGTTGTTTCTGGTCTGTAGCAGGCCTGATGGGCCCCCCGCCGGCCCTCATCAGTCATCTCCAGATCGCGGGCGTGCGCGCTCTGGAGTTGCTGGCGCTGCGGCAGTCGATCATCTCGGGGGTGCCGCCGTGCCCCGCGGTGTCGCTGGCGTGCCCGCCGGCGAACCTGACCTGCCCGCCGCAGGTCTGCCCGGCGCTGACGTGCTCACCGCCGCCCTGCCCTCCTCCAGCGTGCCCGGCGCCGCTGGTCAACCTCTCCTGCCCGCCTGCAGGGGGGGTCGTGGGCGCCGGCGAGTTCGACCCATTCTCGGCGTACTGGGGAGGACTCGCAGGGATCGCGGCTGGGCTGGGGCTCGGCCGCGTCGCCCCGCGCCGCGGGCGCGCTGCTGCCGCCGAAGGAGATGATGATCGCGCACCGTCCCCTGCCCCCGCTCGCCGCGGGGGGGGAGTGGTGCGCTGACTTGGCGGTCGGCACCCTGGTCCGGGTCTCCTACACCGGGGAGACCATGGACCACACGAGGGTCGTGCTGTGGCCCAGCCGCCGCCTGGACCAGAGGCGGCGGGTCCGGGGGCGGCACGCCTATTGGGTGCTCTCCGCGGACGGCGACGTCTGGGAGGAGGACCTGAGCGGGAGGAATGCGGCGACCGGGCCGTCGGGCGGGTCGCTGCTGGACCAGGCGACTGGGGATCCGCCCGACGGCCGCCGCCTCTATCGGTTCCGGGCGCGGCCCAGCCTGGACGAGGTCGTGGAGCTGGCGGCGGAGTGCCGAGCCACGATGCTCAGGCGTGGGCAGGCCGAGTCGGAGGCGCCGACGAGCGTGGTGCTGGCCGACGGGGCGGTGCGCCCCGGCCGCGACCACTTCCCGTGGCTCGAGGCCCCGCGCCCTTGGGTGCTGACGGAACCGCTCCCTGGCATGCCAATCGGGACCGTGGTGGATCCGCTCCCGGTGGGGGCGCTGCGCGACGGGAGCCGGGCCCTCGGCTTGCTGCCGAGCTGCGGCCGCTGGGCGAGGCTCGAGCAGGTGGACGAGGGCAAGATCGTCGAGTGGGCCGCCAAGAGGACGAGGGAGCTGGTGCTCGACCTCGGCGCGGGGCCCGACGCCATGGGCGCCGCGGAGCTGGTTGGCGGGACTGAAACCCCGCCGCTGGGGCGTGAGGCTCGCTCGGCCGGAGGCGACCGCCTGGGCGAGAAGCTGGGGCTGGCCGCCGAGGAGCCCGCCGAGTCGGCCGCGGGGAGGGACGACGCCTACGGCGACGCGCGCACGCTGTGTGTCGACTGGGACGAGCAGGGCGAGCGCAGGAAGGAGTTCAAGCGAGCGGTGGCCGAGAGCTCGGATGTGAAGTGGGACCATCATCGGCTGCCCGCCGATCGCACTTGCCTTCACACGTGCAAGATGATGGTGAACTTGAGTGGGTCTCCACGCGCGTGGCTAGAGCGCTTTCTCAGGGAGAAGGGGATAGCTTCTACGGATCGAGTCGCGCACGAACTCCGAGTGTTGTGCGACATCTTGGAAGAAGCTGGCGAGTTTGACCAGATCAACCTCGGAGGACTGGCTTGCTTGGAAGTGGCCGCCCTCCGGCTGAACCTGCTGGTGGACGCGCACAAGACGAGCGGGTCGGCCTCGTACTCGAACGCGAAGTACCTCTCGCCGCTGACCGAGGTGGACCAGTTGATGGCTCCTGGCTTGCGGTCTCACGTGTCGAGGCGCGCCAAGGAGGAGTACGAGCTGATGCAGGGCGACAAGAAGGCCGAGGCGGTCGCTGCTGGTGCGGCTGGCGCGCGGGTTCCACCGCGCGAGGGGGCCGATGATGCGGCCAAAGGTGGCAAGGGCGGCGGCGGGGGCGGCCGGGGTAACAAGACCCGGGCGCGGGCCCTCGCGCCGCCCGTGCAGGCATGACGGACCAGTCTCAGCCGGCGGAGTGGGCCCCTGCCGGCTGGGCTAACACATCGGCCCGGCGAGCGCCGCTGGCCCTGGCGAGCGGGGATAGGGACCTCTTCCCCCTCCCTCGCCTGGCCAGGCCGCCCGCCAGCAGGGGCGGCAGCCGCGCCCGGATTGCTGGCGCTCGGCGGCGGCGCGAGCACGAATTGGCGAACGGCGCTATCGACTCTCTCAACTGGCTTGCTGGATGGGAGCCTGCCGACGTGGGCCCGCCGCGCTCCCTGGACGCCATGGGGGGCAAGCATGCTGGGATCGTACAGTGGGTGGCCAGCGAAGCTCATCGGCGCCAAGCCGCAGCTCCCAACCCCTGTCCGTCCCAAGAGGCATCGCTCAGTGCGTTGCTCAAGGGGTGCTCGATCTACGACACGTCGGGCTCCCCGAGGAACCTGGCCTCCTTCGTCCGCGAGCGCGTGTCCTTGCCCCCTTCGGTTGTCGGCTGCCTCCAGGTGGACGACATCGTGGGCGAGGCCGGCCGCACCTACCTGAAGGAGAATCAAAAGCGTATGAGGCGGCCGATCGAGGAGATCGATTTTGACAACTTGCCGACTCCCTATTTTGACCCGCTGCTGAAGCGGAACAAGAAGATGTACCACAACTTTTTGAAGGATCTCTCGTCCCGCGGGCTCTTGCTTGCCACCTTGTCTCCCGCAGAGCAGGCTGGCCTGTTCTTCGTGAAGAAGGCCGACAGCGACAAGATGCGCATGATCGTGGACGCGCGTCGGGCGAACGCGTGGTTCGGCGTGCCCCCCAGCGTCCAGCTCCTGTCGTGCGAGGGGTTCGGCAGGGTGGAGGTGAAGCTCCCAGAGGGCGTCGCCTTCGGCTCGGCGCGGGGCGAGGAGCTGCTGAACGGCTTCAAGCTCTTCTTGGGCATGACGGACGTCAAGGACTGCTTCTACAGGATGCGCATCCCGGTGAGCCTGGCGAAGTTCTTCTCGCTGCCCGCCGCTCCAGCTCACGTCCTGGGCCTGGAGGGGCACGAGCTGGAGGGGACGAGGCTGGGCTGCGACACCCTCGTCTTCCCCTGCATCGGGGCTCTCCCCATGGGATTCTCTTGGTCCCTCTTCCTCGCCCAAGACGCGAACGAGGAGAGGGTCGTCCGGTCTGATCCGTGGCCAGGGGGAGACATGGCGGTCTCGGAGCGGGTCCTGATGAGCGATCGCGGACCTCCGCTCGTCGTGGAGGTTGAGCCCGGCCTGCACGGGGGAGCCTACGTGTACGTCGACAACATGGGGGTGCTCGCCCCCTCGGAGGGCCTCGCCAAGAGCGCCCTCGAGAGCTGGACTGGTCTCTTTGAGGGGGTCGGCCTGGACTTGCACAAGAGCTCGGTGGGCTCGGGCGCGTGCGAGGCGCTCGGGACCAAGCTTGACCTCGAGCTGATGAGGTCGGGCGTGAGCGACGGGCGGTTCTGGAAGGTGTACCTGGGGCTGGGGGGCCTGCTAGCCCGCGGCCGGGCGACAGGGCGCGCCTTGGAGGTGGTGCTGGGCCACTGCACCTTCTGCGGGCTGGCCCTCCGAGGGTCGCTGAGCTGCTGGCACGCCTCGTACCGCTTCATCCAGCGGCACTACCTGGAGCCTGCCCGCCTGTGGGCAGAAGTCGTGAAGGAGATCGAGATGTTCCGCGGGCTGCTCACCCTGATGGTTCAGGACTGGTGGCGGCCATGGAACTGCTGCGTGCTCCAGACCGACGCGAGCGAGAGCGGCTGGGGCATGGCGCAGTCGTTCTGGCCGCAGCACGTGGTGGAGCAGGTCGGCCGGCTGCCTGAGCGAGCCCGCTTCCGTTCGGCGCTGGGCAGGCCGGCGCGAGAGAGCGCGCTCGCTGCCGCCAACCTTGCTCGGGACAGCTCGGGCGCCTTGTGCAGTTTTGAGGATATGAAGAATCCTGACTCTCTCGCGTCTGACCTCCTGTCCTCGTGGGAGCTCGACCCCGGGTTCGCTGAAGTGCCCTGGCAGTGGCTCCGCAAGGGGGCCTGGGAGACCGTCCGGTCCGGGGTCTGGCGTTTTGCTGAGGACATCCTGATCCTTGAAGCCAGGGCCCTCGTAAAGTCGATCCAGCGGCTGGCAAAGACCGCACGCGGGGTCTGTGTGCGACAGCTCTTTCTGTCCGACAATATGTCTGTGGTGCTATCCTTTTCCAGGGCTCGTTCGTCCCGCTTCAGCTTGCTGGTTCAGATCCGTCGATTCTATGCCTATGCAATTGCGTTGGGGCTTACGCCCGCTATTCGATGGATCCCCTCGGAGTTTAATGAAAGCGATGAAGGCAGCAGGGTTTTTTCTGAGAGCGACAGTAATATTCTCACATCTCTCCTTGATGAGAAGTTCCAGGCCGGTTTGAATCTGCTCACCCGTCCTCCAAGAGCCGTCCCTGTGAAAGACAATACGCGGGATCCTCTCCGTAGCCGTTTTTGCTCAAACCATTCTCGCTTGGCTGGGGTTCCCGAGGCTCCCGACTCGCCAGAGCCGGCGGGCCATGGCCCCCGAGAGGGCTCGGGTGCTGGCCGGGCCGGCGCCGCGGGCGCGGACGCCCCCTCTGCGGGCGGGCGCTCGGCGGCCGGCCGCGCGGACTCGTGCGCTGGCGGCCGTGGCAGCGCCGGCGGGCTCGCGCTCGGACCCGAGCGGCGCGAGGGCGATCGCCAGCCCCGGGGCGCTGGGCCGGGCGCGGATACTGGCGCCGGCCCCCCTCTTGCCTTCAAAGAAGAGGGCCAGCCAGGCCGGGCGGCATCTCTCGGCCCTCGACGAGAGGGACGCGAACGGGCTGGACCTCGCTGGAGACGCCGGGGAGGACGCCGAGGGCGACAGCAGCTCCAGCGGCTCCGACTCGGTGGTGGAGCAGCTGGGGCGGACTCGGGCCCGAATGCGGCAGCTGCGCGCGCGGAGGGCGCACCGGCGGGCGAAGCTGTACGCCGATGCTATCCTGGCGGCGCAGGGCGAGGGCGTGAGCCTCCTGGAGACCCTGGCGGTGACCCAGGCGACGCAGGTGAGGTACCAGCGATATCTCGATCGTTTCTACTCGCGTGCCGGCCTGAGCCGGAGGCAGATCCTGGCGAAGCCGGACACGGAGATCGACGAGCTCATGTGCAACTACATGACCGAGAACTACTTGCAGGGCGAGCAGAGCAACTACGGAGACCAGACGGTCGCAGCCTGGGTCAGCGCGAACCCGGACTTCGGGCGCGTGGGAGGTCGCAAGCTGCCGCGGACGTGGCGGGCGCTGAAGGCCTGGCGCAGGCTGACCCCAGGCAGGCGGCGGAAGGCCCTTGCCCTTCCGGTCTGGTGCGGGCTGGCTTGGAGGCTGGCGCAGCGGGGACACCTACGCCTGGGCATCTTCTTGATGATAGGCGTATCGATCTATGGTCGGCCCTCGACCTTGCTGGCCGCCCGGCGGTGCGACCTTGTGCCACCGTCGCCTGGTGTCAGCAGGCACTGGGCCCTGTTGACCCACCCGCTGGAGCGGAAGAGGCCCAGCAAACGTGGGCACTTCGACGAGGGCTGCCCCCTGGACTCGCCGTACCTCCAGGGCTTGGACGAGGTGTTCGAGCGGCTGGCCTCGACGACGTCGAAGGAACCGCTGTGGAACTTCAGCTACCCCGAGGCAGCGACGTTGCTCAAGGAGGCGGCGGAGGACCTCGGGGTGGCCCCGGTGACATTGTACCAGATGAGACATTCGGGCGCCAGCATCGACTTGGCGAAAGGCTGGCGCAGTCTGACCTCGGCGCAGCGACGCGGGGAGTGGACGCAGGCGAAGTCAATGCACCGCTACGAGCACAGCAGCAGGCTCGGGAGCGACTATGCGAAGCTCGACCCCCGGCTGCGCGCGACGTGCGAGGAGGCGGAGAGGCAGCTGGCGCTCATCCTGACGGACCGGCCCCACAACGTGCAGATGTGGCGCATGTGAGCCAGCTGCACCTTGGATACCGTGGAGGCCGATCTCGTGGCCGCCTTCGCCGCTCGCGCCTCGGCAAGGGCCAGTACCTCGGCGATCTCTTCGCGGGCTGCCGGGCGGTGTCTCGGGCGGCCGAGGCCGAGGGCTTCCGGGCGAGAAGTTGGGACGTCATCTATGATGCAAAATGGCAAGACTTGTTGTCGCCTGCCGTGCTGCGGGCGATCAAAGCTGACGCTCGAGCTGGCCGACTGGTGGCCGCAACAATGGCCCCTCCGTGCCAGACTTTTTCCCTCGCGCACGACAGGTCGAGACCTGTGCGCAGCCGCGAGAAGCCATGGGGCTTCCCCGCCTCCGAGCTGACGCCTGCCGATGCCGAAGCAGTGGAATTAGGCAACCGCCTCGCTCGGGTTGCTCTTTCTCTCTTCAGATTCTTTTTGAAACTGGGGGTTCCCGTAATCCTTGAACATCCCTTGACGAGCCGGCTGTGGCATACTGCTGAGGTGTGCGACTTATCGCACCATAAACATGTCTCTCTTGTTGAACTGGACCAGTGTCAGTATGGAGCAAGATGGAAAAAGCCCACACGGCTCCTCTGTGCACACGTGAATCAGGAAGATATAATTAAGCTCACCCGTCGATGCCGACCAAAGGGCTGTATATGTTCTAGGACTGGGAAACCCCATTGGCAACTCAGCGGCGGGGGACCAGGTGGCCTCCGCCGCACCCGCATTGCTTCTGAATACCCTCCTGGTCTGGCACGGGCAATGGTCTCGACCCTCTTAGCTAGTACTGTTGAAAAGCGAGCTTGTCACTCCCACCCTTTCTCTCCCCACCCTAGCGAACATCCAACCTGGATAGCTTCGGGATGATTTGGGAGAAGGAGTTTTAAGGCATGCCTTTAAGCTCAAAGCCTCTGGCCATGACGAGTCCAGAGTTTCGCTAGATTCAGTCTCCGCAAGAAAAATGGGACCGTTGCTCTGGAGGTTTTAGAACGGGTTGAGCAGAGGGGCCATACGTGTGATGTTGGGCAAAAGGGAATACTCTGCCCGTTGTCTGATGTGCACTCGCCAACACCCTGCTGCCCTTTTCCGCTCAAGTTGTTTCTGGTCTCCCGCCCCCCCAACCCTCGGGGAGAAGGAGTTTTAAGGCATGCCTTTAAGCTCAAAGCCTCTGGCCATGACGAGTCCAGAGTTTCGCTAGATTCAGTCTCCGCAAGAAAAATGGGACCGTTGCTCAAAATTGGCCCATTCCCTTCGTAAAACGTGCATTTTCAACAAAGTTGTCTTTTGGGCTTTCCGACGTTACAGGACGGCCCAAGAGGCGTCCAAGACCGCCCCAAGACGGCCCAAGGAAGCTTCCCAGAGGGCCCCAGGACAGCCCAAGAGGGCCCCAAGACGGCCCAAGAGGCGCCCAAGATGACCCAAGAGGGCCCCAAGACGGGCCCAAGAGGGGGCCCAGAGGGGGACCACGAACCGCAAGCTCGAGCCTTCCGCCCCAAGAGGCCGCCAGGAGGCCCCCAGGAGGCCCCTCAAGAGGCCCCAGGAGACCCCAGACGTCCAAGGACGCCCCCAAGAGGCCCCAAGAAGCCTCCAACATGCGTCCCAAGAGGGCCCCTAGACGCAAGAATTGGCCCATTCCCTTTGTAAAACGTACATTTTTAACAAAGTCGCCTTTTGGGCTTTCCGACGTTACAGGACGGCCCAAGAGGCGCCCAAGACCGCCCCAAGACGGCCCAAGAAGCTTCCCAGAGGGCCCCAGGACAGCCCAAGAGGGCCCCAAGACGGCCCAAGAGGCGCCCAAGATGGCCCAAGAGGGCCCCAAGACGGGCCCAAGAGGGGGCCCAGAGGGGGACCACGAACCGCAAGCTCGAGCCTTCCGCCCCAAGAGGCCGCCAGGAGGCCCCCAGGAGGCCCCTCAAGAGGCCCCAGGAGACCCCAGACGTCCAAGGACGCCCCCAAGACGCCCCAAGAAGCCTCCAACATGCGTCCCAAGCGTCCCAAGAGGGCCCCTAGACGCAAAATTGGCCCATTCCCTTCGTAAAACGTACATTTTTCAACAAAGTTGTCTTTTGGGCTTTCCGACGTTACAGGACGGCCCAAGAGGCGCCCAAGACCGCCCCAAGACGGCCCAAGAAGCTTCCAAGAGGGCCCCAGGACAGCCCAAGAGGGCCCCAAGACGGCCCAAGAGGCGCCCAAGATGGCCCAAGAGGGCCCCAAGACGGGCCCAAGAGGGGGCCCAGAGGGGGACCACGAACCGCAAGCTCGAGCCTTCCGCCCCAAGAGGCCGCCAGGAGGCCCCCAGGAGGCCCCTCAAGAGGCCCCAGGAGACCCCAGACGTCCAAGGACGCCCCCAAGAGGCCCCAAGAAGCCTCCAACATGCGTCCCAAGAGGGCCCCTAGACGCAAAAGTTGGCCCATTCCCTTCGTAAAACGTACATTTTCAACAAAGTTGTCTTTTGGGCTTTCCGACGTTACAGGACGGCCCAAGAGGCGCCCAAGACCGCCCCAAGACGGCCCAAGAAGCTTCCAAGAGGGCCCCAGGACAGCCCAAGAGGGCCCCAAGACGGCCCAAGAGGCGCCCAAGATGGCCCAAGAGGGCCCCAAGACGGGCCCAAGAGGGGGCCCAGAGGGGGACCACGAACCGCAAGCTCGAGCCTTCCGCCCCAAGAGGCCGCCAGGAGGCCCCCAGGAGGCCCCTCAAGAGGCCCCAGGAGACCCCAGACGTCCAAGGACGCCCCCACGACGCTTCGCGTCACCAATTTCTTCTCACAACGATTCCTGGGTCTGTGACTCGACAGAACCTAAGCGCGCGCGAAGCGCGCGCGTGGTTCTAGTTTTTTCTGGGTGCTCGAAATTATTTCTGGGATGTGGTCTTTACGTGCGATTGGAGCAACATAAGACTCGGAACGCAGGGCGTGTCCGCGGGGGAGGCCCCGAGGCGGAGCGGTGGGGCAGGCCCCAGAGCAGGGGACGAGGTGGCTCTGGAGCGCCCTTGGGGCGGCTTTTGCAGAGCGCTCCCGCAGGATGCAGAGCGCTTGGCATCGCTCGGACGTGTGCACGTTCCACGGCGAGGATCATCGAGGAGCATCCTTGATCATTTAGCACAAACTGCACGCACGAAACCTAACAATACACAGGGAACGGTCCTCCGAGCGATGGCGAGAGCGGCCACGGCGCCTGACGCAGTCCAGGCGCCGCGGTGAGGGGCCGTTTGGGTTCGGAAGGTCTGGCTGACCCAAAATGGGGTCCAGCTGAAAGGGGGTGGTGCAATGGATTCGGTGCAGGTGCAACAGATCTGTGGGATTGCAATCGATTTGGGGCGTGCAGTACATTCCAGTGCGCAACTGTACTGCTGGACTTGCGCGTGTAACGCAATGCAAAACAGTTCACTGGCGCAAGACATTTGCCATACGGTCGCCCCACATCTGTTGCACCACCCCCTGTCGGCTGGACCCCCTTTTGGGTTCACCAAAGAAGGGTCTCGGTGCTCCTGAGGTCCTTCCACGGCCGTGTCTCTGGCGCGCCTCGTCCGCGCGGCCGCTCGTGGGGCCAAAGCGGGGCCCCGTCTCTCGTTGCCTGCTCGGCGCTCCTTTTTCCACCGGCCCGACCGCATGTCTTCCGGGCCCGCCAGCTCCGAGATACGTTCGACTTGTATTTTTCCGATGTTGCGTTCTTCCTGCCGTCCCTCCCCCTCCTCCCCCTCCCTCCTCCTCCTCCTCCTCTCCTGCTCCTCCTCCTCCTCCTCCTCCTCCTACTTATCCTAGCCTTTTCGGCTCTGTTTTCCAGCAGAGTTCGGAGGTGCGAACTTCGAAAAGGCACATTGCATCTCCGAGCCAGAGTGGCTCGGGTCAGAGTCAATTTCATGAGCCGCGATGCCAGCGTCTGTTCGAACACCAAGCGCTGGACTGACTGGTACAGCAAAGGGTGGAGTGCGAGCGGGAGGCTTCCAGTGCCGCCGCCCCCTCCATCAACCAGACGGTGGAAGTGCGACAGCTGCGGCTGCAGGAAGAACCTACAGAACTGGAGTTACTGCAAGCATTGCGGGGGCGACCGCAGTGGTGGTGCTCCTGGCAATGTTGATCAAGGTTTGCCTGCTGGTGCCGCACACTGGCCGCCTCTTCCTTGGCGTCCAGGACCGTTGCACATGGGCCAGAAGCAGCAACCAGCCCCTTCGACCGCTGGGGCCTCCCTCACCGCGTCCGAGCTGCGCTCCATGGTGGAACTCAGCAAGCGGGCGGGGGACACGGACGGTGCAAAGAAGTGGCAGGCAGTTCTTGACAAAGTGGAACCACCTCCTGCGGCGCAAGAACCTATTCAAGCTCGAGCTTCCAAGGCACACTCCAAGGTCCAGCAGCTTGAGAGAGTCCTTGCCAGGGAACTCGACAAGCTTGACAAGGCGAGAGAGTACTACGAGTCGCAGCAGGAGATTGTCAAACATACAAATGAAGAGCTTGATAAGGCAGACGCGGACTACAAGCAGATCGTGGCAGAGCTGGCTGGAGGGATTGTTCCACGTGCGCCAAAGTCGCCTGACGTCAACACGAAGCTGCTCAAGCTGGAGGACATTGTGTCGGGCCAGGCTAAAGCGCTGGACTTCATCGACACGTCCTCGCTCTTCACGATCGATAGCGATGTATATGTTGTCACCCCCGAAGATCAGCAGATCTTGGACGATCGCAGGAACACGCTCAACACGCAGTTGCAGGAGATTGCCGCGCAGCTGTTCTCGGGGGCGATGGACAAGGCCAGCGAACTCAAGAAGGCTCATGCGGAGCACCTGCGTAAGCTTCAGCAAAAGCGTCGTCGTGGGGAGCATGGTCTTGTGGAAGCTGGTGCAGGTGATGATAAACAGCCTGAGCCGTCAGCGGGAACATCGGGGGCGAGTGCTGCAGCAGGTTCGGTGCCACCGGGTTGTGATCAGCCTGGTTCTGCTGCCCAACCTAAAGTATATCCTGATGAAGTCGCCATCGGAGGAGCTGACGACGCCGAGCTTGATGAACCTGAGGATGTACGT